AGAGAGAGAGAGAGAGAGAGAGGGAGAGAGAAAGAGGAGACAGAGTAATTTAATTCAGCCATAAAAAAATAAAATGACATTTACAGAAAAATGGGGGGAAATAGCAACCATTATATTAAACAAGATAAGTCAAACTCAGAAGGTCAAGGGTCATATATTTTCTCTCATATGTGGAAGCTAGAGAGGAAAAAGGAAAAGAAAGATGGGAGTAGATCTCATGAAAATCAAAGGGAGATTAGTAGAGGGAAGGGACAAAAGGGTGGGATGAGGGGAGAGAAGGGAAGGTACTGGGGAGTGTTACTGGTCAACTTATATTATTATAGTGTGTGGGTGTATGAAAGTGTAACAACAAATCCATCATTATGTACAACTATAACAAACTCATTAAAAAAAAAGTGGGAAAAATCATGTTGAGTTAAAGAAGTCAGATACAAGAGTACATACTAGTATAATTCCACTTATATAGAATGCTAATTAATTCATAGTAACAAAAAGTTGCCTGAGACTAGGGGTGGATAATGCAATGATAGATTGCAAAGGAAATTTAGTGGGGTATTAGAGAGATTGTATATCTTGACTATGATGACAGGTTAATGAGTGTAGCTTGCAAAGCCCACCAAATCATATCCTTTAAATGGGTGCGCTATTATTTTGTGAATTATACTTCAATAAAGTTTAAAGAAAAAAAATTATCAAATAAATATCAATTAGATCACTTAGATACACTGAGATTGTGTGTATATACAAAAATTGGTGTATTATGGGAAAAAAAAAACTTCTTACATATTCTATGTTCATGGCCAGTCACAATTTCACTAGAAAATAGGCAATATATTGCTAATCTTTAAACACTACAGTGTTTCTAGATAAAACTCCCTGTATATTTCTAATTCTTCCTATGAGAAAGTATATAAACTAAGCATGGATTAAATATGGCATTTGGAGATTTTAGATATGACCATAGTTTCTTTTAAATCAACATGATTTTTTAGAAAATTGAAATTAATCAGCAGGTTTTTCTTCCTACTGTTTGATAGCCTTTTATTAAATCATTGTTATTATCCAATTTGTTATAGTACTCTAAAGCATTCATTATCTGTGTTTGAATTATAGTCATTTTAAGAAATAGATAAGGCATTTATACTACATAATAAAAATCATTGAAATATTAAACTTGTGGGAAAACATCTTCATTTTATTTCTAAACCAAATTGCTGGAGAAATTAAACTGTTCATTCTATGAGAAATACAAAATGTCAATTTTTAAAATGAACTATTAGAAATTAGACAAAATGGTCCTTCTAGGAGGACCTTTGTAGCCACTTTCCAAAAATTAGCTTTCCACACAGAGTGGCACTCAGAATCACCTGAATGATTCATTAATACTTAGATTGTCAGGCTCTAACCCAACGTTTCCCATTCAGGTCTAGATGTGAAGTAACTGCATTCCCAACATTTTCCCAGGTTAGGCTGATACTGCAAATTTGAGAACCACACTTTGAAAACAGGGTGGTTGTCCTGAAGGAATTTTCTGAAGGAATTTTCTAACTCATTTTTGTATAGCAAGAGGGGATCAGGAGTGGGACAGTTCCAGGTGACTGTGGGTTTAGAAAACAAGTCTAATGACTTACAGAGTTTTCTCCTCAATTATGGTACATTCATTTCAAATACTGTTTTTGCTGCTTACAGAAGTTTTTGTCACTAGCAAGTCTCCAAAAGTGATAACACACTTGTGTGACCAGTACAAGCTGTCTGTGCAAAAGAAGGGAAAATATGCAAATCCATATTTCATCAGGTGGTATAAGCCACTGTGAGAAATGAGCATTTCTTTTGGGGATCCTAGAAGAGAACAAAGAAACAAAGTACAATTAAAAGTCTAGCACAGGGCTGGGGATGTGGCTCAAGCGGTAGCGCGCTCGCCTGGCATGCGTGCGGCCCGGGTTCGATCCTCAGCACCACATACAAAACAAAGATGATGTGTCCGCCGAGAACTAAAATAAATAAATATTTAAAAAAAAAAAATTTTTTAAAAAAAAGTCTAGCACAGAAAGGGAAGGTCACACATCTTCAAGTAAAAGAAATGAAACACTCTATGTAAACAAAGCACACTGACCAGGGACCTTTTTTTTTTTTTTTTTTTTGCTTGTATCTAACTTGGCCCAGCTCATTCATCACATAAACTCTACATCCCAATTATTTCAACCACCCCCTCCCTAGGTTTACATTGTTGCATCTGGTTGGCATTTATTAGCCACAGCTCCTGGTCTTCTACTCAGGCTCCACTGTAGTGCTGTCACACATATTACCAGTGGCTGGGAGGGCAGAGCTCCAACCCCACTTCTATGCTCCCTGATTGCAATCCCACAGCCCAGGCCTGGTCACTGGGAGGCACACTCAGATGCTGGTGCTGGAAAGAACCCTTCAGCTGGTCAAAGCCCTCTTGGCCTTTCCAAAAATGATTCTAACTTCTTGACAAATTGGGTTACTATTAAGGTTGGCTTTAAGCCAACTTCGGAGATGAAACTTTTATCAGGAAGTTTTGAAGCTACCTCGTTCTAGAGATTCCGTCATAATATCCCATAGGACTGGACCTCCATGGAAACACCTATCCCTAAACCACTCTGAAAAGTTGAAACCCCCATTTCAGCATAGTGCCTTTCGGTGTAACTGAGAAACAATTATAATGCTTCCTACCTTATTGTTGCTCATTCTGTAATCTCATACAGTTCACAGTTAAGGCCAACGTGATAAATTCATACTCTTGTTTCAACTCTGGAATAAATCTGAGATGCTCAGCTACAACCTAGAATCCTGTATGTGAATGTAGCAAAAGTGCAATTACAACTTTTCTAGAGCCCATCCGGGTGTGTCACATTCAAAAAAACATTAATTCAATCATCAAAATAAGAAGTAATTCAAATATTTACTGATATCTTTCAAAAAATATCAAAGGAGGCCTATTTCAAACAAAATATTTTAAACTCCTGCTTTCCTGTTGCTCTCTTTCAAACTTCTTCACACTTTGTATTGGTTTCCCAGCTGCCACTTGGATTTTATTGGTGCTCCTACAAGGTGTTTTCCAATTGTGCATATTTGGCCGACATGAGCAAAAATGAAGAATGAGGATTCAGCATTACATTCAAGCCTTTCATTTTACTTATGATTAGAGTTTTTACAATACTAAATAGTTCTACTTTGTGTATGCTGCACTTTTTATCTTGGTCCTCCATGATATCATATTAGAATGATACCATATAAGAAGTTTAAAAAACAACAGGGTGTCTAAATAAAAGACCAGGAACACCTGCAAAAGCCATGGCTGCTTGCCAAGGTCCTCACCTGCATTAAATTACTTGTTAATATCTACAACTGCTAATGATCCACTTTAAAGATGTTTCCACTCCCATGATACAAAACTACTAAAGTGATGATGACAAGGAAAAACTGAAACCCTCACCTGGCTTTAAGAACAACCACTGTTGAGGAACTCAGTTTCTCCCACACACCATGTACCATGCCCATCTAATTATCAAGTGACTTTCCTACTTAAGCAAGATTTCTCCATTTTTAAAACACTGGTATTATTCAAAAGTAAATTAGCAATAAGACTGGAATGTTAATTATTCACATAGTGCATGGCCTGGCTACCTCATGTTTTTTCTCCGTATCTTGAGGTACATTCTTGCAAGACAATTTTTCAACAGGTCCTAGATGAAGAAAAAATATTAGCACATAGGGCAATCGGAAGAAACCAAAAAGTGACATATCCCTCTAGTCTAATGAGTATGTATCCTTGCAACCCCAAGGAAGCTGTGAGTAATGACACTTAATTTAAAAAAAAAAAAAAAAAAGGAAAATCTATCTTGGGAAGTTGTGAACAGTCTCTGGATTTCAAACTTTTAATGACCAGAAAAGCCAATTTACTAATAAAGACTCTAGAAAAAGATCATGGCCTTTCATCAGACAAGACAGCATCTTGGTTTGATTATATTTTCCAGTTACCAAGTGATAGCTGGCAGGCACCAATTATAATCCCCTGAAGAAATAGCTCCTTCCACATAATAGTAGCTATCCTTTAATTAACTTTTGACAAACTAAAAATGAAAAAATATCAGCTGATGAAAACAGGAAAGGCACTGAATGGATTCACTTATTTCATCTGACAACTGTACAGCACATCTTGGTCACAATTTTCAACCATCATTTTTTGAATACTTGGAATCTATGGAGAAGAATCATGTTGTCTATGATTATATAACAGTCACAGAGATCACTTCTATGCCCACCCTTAGCAAAAATGGAAGCTCATGATGCTTATAAACTCTAATTTTGACCATTCTTTTCCTTTCAGAAATTGAAAATTTCAAAGTATCAAATTGCTGTTCATTGCCTCCCACTTCTTTTACTCTTGCCCTGGTCAAAAAATATTTTGTTTACAGTAATTTTCTATAATTTTTAAATATAATTTTCTATAATTTTAATTTTATAATTATAATTATATAATTCTAAAATTATAATTTTAATTTTAAACATAATTTTCTATAAAATATAGAAAACCATGTGTTAAAGGCTTGGTCTCCAGTTTGGTACTATTGATTGATGGTGGGGCCTAGTGGGAGGTCTTTAGGTCATTGGAGTGGATAGTGGATACCCTTTAAGGGATAGTGGGACCCTTCCTTCTGTAGGGAAGATGTACCACTTCTCCCTTACTTATTTACTGACTCATTCACTAATTCATTTATATTTATATGCACTTACAGATATTTATTTTATACTTTTAGCTATAATCTAATACTGTGTTACTTAGTTTATTGCTCAAATTGTTCCAGCTTTGGTCATCCCTTCCTCTGTCTTCCCTTCCTTTCCTTTTTGTGGTGCTCAGGATCAAACCTGGGCCCTTGTACACGGTAGGCAAGAGTTCTACCACTGAGCCACATCCCAGTCATGGTCCACTATTTGAGTTTTGCTCCTGAATTCTTTTAACACACCCCATTCTTTTGTTTTTTGAGCAATTCTTTACTTTCTGGTATTACAGGATATTCTGGGCTCATTTTCTATATTCCCTGTTCTAGCCCTAGAACACTCATTTTTCCATGGTTTCTTTTATCACAGAATGGTATTAGAAAATAAAACATGGCTCTGAATGTATTCTCAACTTTTGTACTTAAAGATCACACTAAACCATCTATGATAGTCTTGGCCTTCCTCTGGAGCATGAACTTGATTCAAGGCATGCTCCTAGTCTGCCAGAATCTTAATGAATTAAGGTTGCTGTGTATCAGAGGCCAACCCCTCTTTGAATTTGCACTGCTAAGTGGCAGATGTCAGACTGAGTCATTTTCCTCCCTTCCCTCACACCTATCACTTGCTCTAGGAAGGCAGAGTGAATGGTCCACATGATAATTTTGAAGGAGGGAACTGAATCTGCCCAACCTCTTGAGGGGTCTTTCTCCCCAAAAAAGCAGGGTCAATGGTCAGCTGACTAACCCATAGGTAGGGTCTTGGGTTGTCTAACAAGCTTAGAAAAGTCCATCTCATTTAGGGGTGAAGGATGAGGGGCCCACTGAGGCCATGCTGTTAAGGCAATCAATGATCCACTTTTTTGTTCCTTAGTTAACAAATATGTATTTATCACTTACAAATGTCAGGCACTGTTCAAAGCATGGGTATTTTTGCGGTGGAAAAATAGACAAAAGATTTCCTACCAATGAAAAAGATAATAAGCAAAAATAAATATATGCAGGTCAGGAGGCTCTGATATGAAGAGGGAAGGCGAGCTGACTAGACATAGCCAATGCAGAGGAGAGGAAGTGTGTGCAATGATGGGGGGGGGGGGGTGGTTGGATTCTATTGGCTCTAACATTGAACAACCTGGGAAGTCACTGAATGACCTTAAGCAAATGAGGAATTATTTGTCCTTTTCTTCTTTTCCTTTTTTCAGGGAATCACTCTTACTGCCGTATTTAAAAATGGCCTTTTGAGGAGAGTAGTAAGCAATGGAAAGGCAAAGAGCAGGGCAAAAGCAAAAAGAACAGTTAAATAGCTCTTATAGCAATATCAGAGAGAGAGAGAGAGAGAGAGAGAGAGAGATGAGGGCAGTTGGACCAGTGTGGTGGCAGTAGATATAAAATATGAAAGAGAGAAGCATTGGATCATTCTAGTATATTTGGCATGAGCAAGTGTAAGTAGAGTTGGACTTGACTGAGATGAGAAGACTGGCAGAGGAACTGGATGTAGTGGAAAGGATCAGGGTTCCATTCAAGATATGTTAAATTAGAAATGGTTAATATCAGGCCCACAAATGACCAGGTATCCCTAAGAACTATTTCCTTATAAATGGCAAGCAAAACTAACACATGTGCTTCTTCCACTCTTGGCTTAATGACTGTACCTGGGTTGAGGGAGCCATGTGTCTTAGGTCTGCAAATGACTAAGATGATAAAAAAAAACATTAATAGAAAAAAGGAAGGATGGTTTCTCTGTGCCAAGATGACTCCACACACATTGGCTCTCACCATGGCAGTTTTACCCACCTCAAATGGGAGGCAAGGCAAAAAGGGCTGGTATGTGAACCACTGTCAGTCCCCTTGATAAGAGAAAAGTGCTGTGCCCCTGCCTTGTATCCTGCTATACAGTCATATAAACCTAACATTAAAACCCATTTGTGTCTAAAGTCTGATGCCAACCTGAACTTGTGATACCCCAGCTGATAAACTGATGGTTTAATCTCTCCCTGTCTAGATCCTTTAATTACATAACTGGGAAGGTAAAAAAGGTTTCCCTTATTGTTTCCCTAAAATTCTAAACTCTAGGAGGGATTTTCCTTCAGACTGTGATATGTGCAAATTAGTCTTTACAATAATTCAGAAGGCAATAAAAGCTGCAGATATGGAAATCCAATTCTATCAGACTGATTCAATCTTTACCCAGCACTTGGAATCACAAAATTTATCCAGGGTTGTTCCTTTAATGAAGAAAATGATTCCACAGATAGAGGGAGCTGATCTTCTGTGATGATGGTAACCATGAACAAAATGGTCCATGGCCGAGGCCAAGGTATTGCCAATATTCCCATCTATCCTCGGAAGCTTGTGCTTTTGGAAGAAGCAGAACTATCACTGCTCACAGGAGTCACTTTACCACTTCATGATGCATCTTCTCCATGCTAGCATACACACGACCTTTGGGAGCCATGGTATAATCTGAAGTGAGGTCCTTGCTGAGATCTTATGAGAAGGTTAGCTCATCATCACACAGAGCTGCTAGGGCTGCACCTGGCACTTCTTCCCCCTCACGTGGTAGTGAGAAGAGAATACAGTATATTTTAAAGAGGGATGCTGGTGGCATTCAATCATGGTTTTGTGCTAAGAAATTTTTGAAGTCAAGTTTTAAAAATCGTTCTTGAGTATACAGATTTCAAGAGTGTCATCTAAAAGCAATTGTAACATTCCAGCAGGAAGAGAATCATGGACATTGGATATTTTTCTTCATACTGCTCATCAGCTCTTCCTGGTTTTTACACGTTAATTGGTTTTGGCCTGTGCAACTGTTCCCTTTTCATTTCCATCAATCTGACAGATGAGAACATTGGGCTTACTAATGACTTGAACACCTACCTACATGAACACTGGGATAAACCTCAGTCAAGGATCCCTCCTCTGCTTCAGCCAAGCTTGGTCTTGAAATGCTCTGAGATCTGCAATAAGTGCAGCACACGGAAACAATTGAATTGCTTGATGGAGGCACTGTTTTGCACTTGCACTGTCTTTTGGAAATTCACAATCACAATTACACCCAGCTTTCAAAACTCTCTGGTTTGAGAGACATACCCAGAACAAAATGACTTCTTGACTATTTTACTTTCTATCATTAAGAAGCCACAGTTCATTCATTTCTTTAATATATGTTTACAATTTCAGTACTCCCTAAATCATGGTATCTTTTCTAAATTACCCAAAGACATATAATTTAGAAATAAGGTGCCACCTGAATCTTTTGACAATATAACATTTATGCTCAAAGGAAACAAACAATGCACAATTTAGGTAAACATTGTGCAACAGACTATCACTTTCTCTCTACAGTTTAAAAAATGCAATGTCAAGAATTCTGTTCCTTTTGTAGTGCATAAAAAGTCTCATATGTATAATCCAATGCCTTTCACTTCCCCTCTCTGCAGGTCCTCATAGAGGGCTGGACCACCACACCAGCTGGCCCAGATGGCAGACCCCAGGGAGCAGCCTCATCTTCTCATCCTACTGGACTGGCTAATGCAGTATCCTGGAGACAAGTAAGCCAATTACTTAGAGGACAAATAGCCTCAGGTTTCCTCTTAGTACTTAAATGCAAGCCATTTGCCTCAGCCCAATAGCATTTCAAGCAGTCTGAGTTCCATTTAACGGGCCTGGAAAACAAAACCAAGTTTTGCTTTTAGCAGACCATTCCACAAAGCACACTGCAGCCTCTTGAGCAAGGAGGGGTGGAGGAAACAGGCTCAGAGGATGAGAAAAGGCAGGAGTAGCTTTCTGTTTCCACATAATTTAGAAAATTATGAGTTAAGCAAGGAAAGGAATAAACACAGAGAAAACACTTTATTATCAAAATAAATAAAAATATTAAATATTTAGACAACCAAAGAAGCAAAAAGAACTATCACAGAAGCCCATACTAAGAGTCAAAAAAAAAAGATGATACAACTGTCAAATGAATCTGCTAAGCAATGGAATGCTTTCATCCCAATTTTATTTTATTAATTGTCAGTTTATAAATATTCCCAGTGCCTTCCACAAGAGAAACAGTAATAT